CCAATAGATTGTAATTCAGGACCTCTGGTTGGTTAAGTCTTACAAGAAGCCATGTGAAGAAAATAAAATTTGGTTACCTAATCAAACTCCCTTCTACCATGTGCAGATAAAGGAATTTCTTCTGAGAAATTTGAAGATGTGTCTCCTATTTATTGTCAAGACTGAATCCAAGAGGTAAAATAAAGAAAAGAATTAGCAGTACACTGGCTGTCTCCCTTCTTAAAGCTGGCTGCCTCTGCTTGGTTTTATACTTTCTCCCTGTGGTGGGCAAAATGGAAGCCTCACATCCACAACTTAAGAGCTCAGTAGCCCTGCCTAGCAGAGGCCAACAATCTCCCAGCTCCAAGAGAAAAATTCAAATTAGGTTACATGTTCATCTCAAAAACAATCACCAAGGCCAGGGGAATGGATGTACTAATTAGCCAGGCTGCAGTCAGGTACTCTGTGTGTGTGTAGTGTGTGCGAGTGTGTGTGTGTGTGTGTGTGTGTAGGTGAGATTCCACATGAACCTCACTGAATGGGTTCTTCATTAAAAGGAAGGAATTAGCCAGACTGCAGTCAGGTACTCGTGTGTGTGTGTGTGTGTGTGTGTGTGTGTGTGTGTGTGTGTGTGAGAGAAATTCCACATGAACCTCACTGAATGGGTTCTTCATTAAAAGGATGAGTTCAATACCAGAAAACAGAAATAACACATGTCTTTTGTATGTGTCTCTCCTCTAGCAAATCATGTGTAGGTCTTTTTTTTTTTTTTTTTTTTTTTTGAGACGGAGTTTCGCTCTTGTTACCCAGGCTGGAGTACAATGGCGCGATCTCGGCTCACCACAACCTCCGCCTCCTGGGTTCAGGCGATTCTCCTGTTTCAGCCTCCTGAGTAGCTGAGATTACAGGCACGTGCCACCATGCCCAGCTAATTTTTTGTATTTTTAGTAGAGACGGGGTTTCACCATGTTGACCAGGATGGTCTTGATCTCTTGACCTCGTGATCCACCTGCCTCGGCCTCCCAAAGTGCTGGGATTACAGGTGTGAGCCACCTCGCCCGGCCATCATGTCTAGGTCTTTAAAAAAAAAATCTCTGTATCTCCTTTGCTAAGTATGAAGTAGATGCCCAATACATATTTGTCCAGTGAACATAGAATTATACACAATATTCTATATGCCTTGCTACATAGCAAGGACCAATGTTATGTATGTTCTGATATGGGTATTTTATTGAACTCATGCCCATTGTGTTACAACCATTTCCACTTCCCTCTTTTTACATGCAGAGGCTCATTTCTTTTTCTGCATGTTTCTACTTAATCAATCTTAAAGTACTACTCAAGTATATTTCCTCCACAAAGCCTTCCCTGAGGATTGTATAATTCATTATTTTCCCATCTAGGAAGACCTTATTTTCTGCACCTTGCCCCTTCAGTAGTAAAGTGACTCTACAGTCAGACTACCTTGGCTCTACGGTCAGACTACCCATGTTAAAATCTCCACCACTTCCTCTCTGTGTCATCTTAGCTAATTTCTTAATTTTCTTTTCTATAGAAGATGATAATAACATCTACTTCATAAGGAATAAATAATAGGATGTCTGTAAAAAGCTTAGCACCGTGCCTGGCACATAGTAAGTGTTTAATAAATACTGGCTATTGCTATAATTAATGAAATAAATAGCTGTACTCCTCTAGCAGACACACATGATAGCTCCTGTAGATGTTGATACACCTCCTACGTTAAACTTTTTTTTTGTTTGAGGGCCTTCCTCTACCCAAGCAAATTTACTATGCTGCAAGCAGGCACAACTAGAAGTGTGGGAGAGTTAACATTTTTGGATTCAGCCCTAAAACACTGGAGGGTGGAAGTCAGCAGATAGATGCCTCGACCTCTCTGCCCTCTGGGGATTCTTGGGTGTGCTCCATACAGTTTCTCAGAGGATCCCAGCAGGATTGAGCTCCAGTTGCCCACAGTGGTAACCTGCTCATTAACGCAAAATTTACTGTCTGGTTTCCTTCTCTGTTTCGCTTACCCCACGTCTTTGCTTGTGCTTTCTGAAATCACCTCCTATATAAGGTCCTTGTGCCTAGGTCTTGTTTTAAACTCTGCCTTAGGGAAACCCAAATTAAGATAGCTCCCAGCAGTTTCCATTTTTAAAGTTGTTTCTCAGGATATTTTCACTGTGGACAAGAGCCATACCCTTCTTTTGTAGCTTTATACTGCTTGGCATGTTTTGTAGACCTATATTCAATAACTACTTGCTGGATAACCGATGTTTTGAGAACATTTTTAGTATTTAGATACCAGAGTAAGAAGTTCTACAATATGCCTGATGAGATTAATTTCCTATTTGCATTCCTCTTAGGTTCAAGTTTGGGACACACATGCATTAATGCCTGAACTTCCTTTGGAAAATAAAGCCCAGGAACTAAAACTTGTGAAGATGTGCCAAAAATTGGGTTTATTTATAAAAATAACTTCACACTTCCCTTCACGGATTCTACTTTGTGGTGGAATCACCCATCTATTGAATGACTAATACTAACACACACAGATGCCAAAAAATAAACCGTAAGCTACAAAGTTGTGTATTTCTTTCAGTGATGCAAAAACTTCAAACTATGAAACTGAAACAACAGATGTCCTGGTGCAGAGGTGAAAGCAGAAGAAGGGAAGAGAGAAAGGGCCTTTGCTTTCCTGAAACTAAACAAATGATGAGAGCAAATCAGGAATCTAGTTAAATGAGGCTTATTTCTTTCCAATATAGTTATCGAGGCTCCTATTTGTTCTGATCATTCCCAGGGAAGATTTGGTTACGATAGACTACACAAACAATAAAATCATATTTTAAAAAGTAAGACATAGAAAGGTATGTTAATAATGTGTGAGATTCATATTGAACATTATATCAGTTAGCTATTGCCATGATAATGGAGTGTAATTAACCACCTCCAAACTCAGTGGTTCAAAACTACCACCATCTATGCTTGCTCTTACGTTTATGGGTTGGTTGAAGTGGCTCTGCTTCATGCATGTTCATGCCAGGACTCAGGATGAAGAGAGGTCCCTCCACGTGGAGGAAGCTTTCTCTTGCTGCTGGTGGTGGCACAGGATGGCAAGCAGAAACATGCCATGCTTATTAAGGCCTGGTGGGAAATGACATCCTATCACTTCTGCCCACTTTCCATTAATCAAAACAAGTCACCTACCAAGCCCAAAATCAAGGAGGCAGGAAAATATACTGTCTTTATGAGATCATGGTAAAGGTGACCTTGCAAAATAGTAGTTGGAGGAAGGGGAGGAAGAACTGTGACCAACAGTTCTGGCTCCACAGGGAATAATATGAATGAGCATGAGCTGCTGTGTAATGTTCACTATGCCCAGCACATTGGTTTCCTTCCATTCACAAAGCATATTCTCACCGTTACACTAATCATTCCCTCTGCTTGGAATTATTTTCCCATATATCTCTTCTGCTATAATGTAAGCTCTGTGAAGGCAATTGTTCAGGGTTTGTTTTATTTACCTACAGAGTTTCTTACTCTAGGATGCCATCAGCTGCTTAAATATTTGCATTTGTGCATCAAAAAAGCTTCACGATCAAATGTCACTGTAAATTATTAATCCTTTTTGTCTACATGATAATCCCATTCAGATGTTTCAAACCACAGGGTGCTTAAGTGGTATGGCAGGGAAATATTATATTGGAAAGATAATAATCTGGGTTAAATTTATCTACCAGAGGCTGTATTTCCTATGGCAATAGAGTCATGATTCAAGTCTTAAATTTCTCAGGTTTATGGACAACCAAGGCTAGATGTTCCAAAGACAAATTTTAGGATTCCGTAATCTAGATGGTTAATTGTACAAGAATATTCCACAGAGAAAGAAGAATTTCTTGCTCTTCTTAGGAAGCTCAGTTTATCCTGGGACGCTTGAGGACTAACTTAAAAGCTCACATTTAGAAAGCAAATATTTATTCATTGTAGCATTGATTTCCGCAGGTAATTTGAATTCAACATTTGAAAGTATTTAAGGCTTAACTCTAAGACACTTCTGTGATTAGAATATATCTTGAAATTATAGTATCTTTCAACCTGAAGATACTCTTTATTCATTTTTCTGCGTTAGGCAGAATGCCGTTAGGCATTCATTCATTCATTCATTTCTTCAGTAAAGATTTCTAACTGCCAGCAGGTCCCCGGTACTGTGCCAGACCTCAAAACACAAGACAAATGCTTCAAGAAGCTTATATACTAATGAAAGACTGACACATAAACAGAAGAATACCATGGAGAACGATTTGTGACAGAATAAAGATGTCTGTATGGTTCAGCTGGACCTTCAGATAAATGCAGTTCAATGTTGAACTAAGGATTCGGAGAGATTTTCTAGTAGAGATAAAATTTGAGCCAACTCATAAAGGAAGAACAATAAATGTGCAGGGCAGGAAAGGGGTCAAAGTGAGATGGGAAAGTGGGTTGATGTTTGTAGACAGACAAAGGATAGAGCGTGTACACAGTCATAGAAGAGTTTGAAAATTGCAAGTTTGGGGACATACAAATCATTTCACAAATTTACCATCTCAGAGAGAGGATGACTGACCTTGATTTTTTTTTTAAGTAACAGCTTTATTGAGCTATAATTAACATATCATTCACCCTTTTAAAACGTATGTTTCAGTGAGCTATCATGTATTCAGAATTTAATATACTCACAGAGTTTTAGTATATTTACAGAATAACCTACACACTACCTACTTTCAGAACATTTTCATTTTCCTAAAAAGAAGTCTCATATCCATTAGCAGTAACATCCCATTCATTCATCCCTCGGCCCTGGAAACGTGAATCTACTTTGTTTCTATGTGTTTGCATATTCGGAAAATTTTATATAAATGGACTGGCATCTTTTACTTAGCATGATGTTTTGAAGGTTTATCCATGTTGTTGCATGTATCAGTACTTCATTCCTTTCATATTGCTAAATAATATTCCATTGTATAGATACATCACCTTTAAAAAATTCATTCATCATTTGGTAGATATTGAGTTGTTTCCATTTTGGGCTATTAAATAAAGCTGCTGGGAACATTCAAGTACAGGTTTTTGCATGGACATATATTTTCACTTCTCAGGGCTGATATACTTAGGAGGGGGATTGCTAGATCATATAGTTTAGTGGTAACATAATCATATGTTTAACATTTGGAGGAACTGCCAAGCTGTTTTCCAAAGTGGTTTTACAATTTTACAATCCCACTAGCAATGTAACAGAAATCTAATTTTCCCACATCCTTGTCCATACTTCTTATTATCTGTCTTTTTTATTTTAGCCATCTTACTGGGGCTGAAATAGTACCGACTTGTAGTTTTGATTTGTATTTCCCTAATGAGTAATGATGTTGAGTGCCTTTTAATGTGCTTTTTGGCTATTTGTATATCTTCTTGGAAAAATGTCTACTCAGAACAAATCCTTTGCCCATTTAAAAACTGCGTTGTCTTTTTATTGTTAAGTTATAAGAATTCTTCATGTATTCTGGATGTAAGTTCCTGTTTGGATTTATGATTTGCACAATTTGTCTTCCATTCTGTAGACTGTTTATTCACTTTCTTGAAAAAATCATTTGTAAAAGTTTTTTTCATTCTTTAATTTTTTTAAATTTTTATTTTTTTTTGTAGAGATGAGGGTCTTGTTATGTTGAGCAGGCTGGTCTCGAATTCTTGGCCTAAAGGCTCCCACTTCAGCCTCCCAAAGTACTGGAATGATAGCAATGAACTACCACACCTGGCTGATAGAGTCTTTTAAAATACAAATGTTTTTAAAATTTTTGATGAAATCCAGTTTATCTATTTTTTTTGTGTGTGTAGTTGTTTATACCTTTGATGCCATATCTAAGAAACCATTGCCTAGCCCAATGTTATAAAAATTTACTCCTTATATGTTCTTCTAAGTGTTTTATAGTTTTAGTCCTTACATTATCTATGATCCATTATGAGTTAATTTTTGTAAATGGTGTCAGGTAGGGCTCCAACTTCATTTATTTTGCATGTGGATATTCAGTTGTCTCAGCACCATTTGTTGAAAAGACCATTCTTTCTCCATTAATATGCTTTGTACTCTTGTCAAAAATCGATTATTAAGTTTTATTTGTGGACTCCCATTTCTGTTCCATTCGTCTATATGTCTATCCATATGCCAATACTCTGCTGTCTTGATTACCTTGATTTTTTTTAATGTTAGCAAGATATACCCATCTTCTTTATTAATAAGCAGTTCCAGGGTCAAATAGACACAAGGGTAAAAAAATGAATCAATTCTCTTTTTCTTCAGCATTTAGTCCTATAAAAGAACTGCAAACCATTTTCAGAGTCCATAGAAGGAATCACAGGTTATTGTGGTCTGTATCAAAAGGCCTTTTATGCTGATGATCTTTTTTCCTATCCACAAAAAATTTCTTGGAAGTCATATTTTTAGTATCACAATATGAATTCCTGCCTTTAATATATATTTATAAGGAATCATTCTTTGCAAGGAAAAGTAATTTAAGTACTTCAAAAAATAATTACTAAAGTAATTAACCATGTCTGTAATTGTATGTATGCATGTATGCAGAGTGTATTTATTTTCCATGCAATTATTTACTTTACTTTAGTTCTGCTACTTATTGGCTATGCAACTATTGGCAATTACTTAATTTGTTTGATCTCTAGTTTCCTAATACTGAGATTAACCACTCTTATTGAGTTCTGATATGATTGGATGTTTGTCCCCTCCAACATCATATTGTAATTTGATACCCATTATGGCAGTGTTGGGAGGTTGGCCAGGTGGGAGGTGCTAGGGTTATGGGGGAGGTTGGCCAGGTGGGAGGTGCTAAGGTTATGGGGGTGGATTTCTTATGAATAGATTACTCATTTTCTCATCCTGAGGAGAAGGGATGAGTGAGTTCTCACTCTATTAGTTCCCATGAGAGCTGGTTGTTTAAAAGAGCCTGACATTCCCCAACTTTTGCATTCTGTCTCACCACATGACCTCACTATACACACTGGACCCCTTCTGCTTTCAACTATGAGCTGGAGCAGCCCGAGGCCCTTACCAGATGCAAATGTCTGATATTGAATTTTCTAGCTACTAGAATTGTAAGCCAAATAAACCTCTTTTCTTTATAGGCTATTAAGTCTCAGCTATTCCGTTATAGCAATACTAACTCGACTGACAAGCTCTTATAAATTTTACATGAGAAATGTATGTAAAGATCTTCGCAGAGTATCTGATACACAGAAGCACGTAAAAACCTGAAAGGATTAGCATTAGTAAGAGATGTACAACAAATATCTGTTGACAGAATGTCACTTTCATGTGTTAATTATCAAAGTGAGATACTGAAAATGAGCAATAATGTAATTTCTAGAACTTCTAGAATTTCACTAAACAAACCCAGTTTATTCATCTTTCCTTCTAGCTATAACTTGGTTCTGTACCCACATGAAAAAACACAAAAGTGTTGATAGAAAGTCAATTAATGTTCTCATCAACTCCAATTTCACATTTAGCCATTATTTGATGACTTCTTCCAGGGTTTATTTGTTTTATGTATTTTTCTATTAAAAAAGATGGCTTTCTAAGCAATTTAACAGGGTAGTAAAGGCCTGACAAACATGGACAACATCAATGATGGATAAGCTATTTGTCTAAATTGTTGTTCTTGAACTTCAAGTCTGATTTATTTAAATACAAGTTTTCTAGGGTCTCATATTTCCTATTAGCTATGAGTGTTTTAGTCCTTAAAGTAGTTTCTAATTTGGATATTTTCCAAGGGAAGACTGTCAGAGACATTAGCAGCATTAGCAGCGTTTTGGTTGCCAAGCACACATTCTCTCTTCTTTTGTTAATGGCACCTTGATTTCCTTTTGGAAAATCACATCTCTTGGAGAGACTGCATTTCTCTTAAGGAAGGGATTATTTGATAGCCAAGGGATGGGCATAACGACCAAACTCAGACCAATAAGACTCTTTTTCTAGATTTTGAACCCTGAATAGCACAGATGGTTGAGTTGAATCATGCTTATAACAATGCACAAATGGATATCCAAATTGAAGCCATTTGTTAGTTTCCACTGTAAATGTGCCTGGAGCTGCTTTGTTTCCTGTATGTTTTGGAGTCCGGTTCTTCAGCCTTCCCTTACATTACATGAATGTCTTCAAATTTTTACAATAAATTCCTTCTCTTCTTTTATTACCCAAAGGAAATTTTTGTTACTCGTAACCTCAGGACTCTTAGTGATATAAAACCTATCTATCCCTGATAATTCTCAGAATCTTTAAAACAAATAGGACCAATTAAAATGAGTTTTCCATATGCACGTTTTTGTTGACTTCCTTAATCTCCCAAAGGCTCACTCCTAAATTCCCTTAAAATTCTTCTCTTCCCTCTAAATTCCAGAATCTCTTAAGTATTCCAGAACTCTCTTTCAAGGGATTTGAGACTTTGTGTAAGAGGAGATAGATAGCGACATTTGATAATGATAGAGGTAACCATTAAATTCTTTCATTTTCATCCTTCAGTTCTTCAATAAATGTCTATTCAGGACATATCATACCCTGTCCCAGATGCTAGAAACACAAAAATGACTAGGACATAGTCTTGTTCCTTAAAGAATCTGCCATCTAGTAAGGGAGATAAGATACACAGAAATAACCATAATGCCAGAGAGACTGTGCTAAGTGCTATAATTGAGGTAGAGGTCAAGTGCAATGGGAACACAAAGGCAAGAGATTAATTCAATGCTGGAAGGATTGGGGAAGATTTCAGAGGTGGAGATAAAACTTCAAGTGGGCTAATCCTCCTATAAATACCCAGTGACCAATTATCTCCAGGAAATGGAGTTTGCAAAATTAATCCTGACCTGTAGAGGATAGTTTAATTTTCTCTTAGCATGGTGTATTACAATTTCATTGGGCAGCGGACTAAATTGCTGAGGACAAACCCCAGGACATAAGGATGTAAAACTTTGCAGGTCTGTGACTAAGCGTCTGGGACCTATTGTTTGTGTCTTGTGGACGTCAGTGGGATTTAGCAATAACTGACCATGGCCTGGATTGGGGCCAGTGTATTTCTTAGCAGTCTTTAAATCTGTTTTAAAATTAACTACCTGCTTAAACAAGCTGCTTGGGCTTATTTTCTCTAAATGAAGACAGCAGCAAGGACAGGAAGCCTGCAGCTTGTTCTCAGCTGCCTTGAACACAGATACTCGTTTCATGTTCTTTTATTTCCAGTTTCCCTTCTCCTACCCACATAGTGCAGCCAACTTTCTTCTTTCTTTTAACAGAGAAAGGATGCTCTGAATTAATCTGGGATGGACAATCGGTCTAACAGAGTAAGCTTGAAAAACTTATTATTGCTCGTGGCAATACTTGCAGGGGTTTAGTGTGAAATGCTTCTTTCATGCTGATAACCTCTAAGACATTAGGAAGGAGTGCTATTTGGAACATAAAATGTTGTGTAGCTAGGTGACAATGCAGTCACTTATGTAGCCAGGGAACATACGATTGAAAGAGGAAAAGACACTTAATTTTTGAAAGTTACAGTTTTTCAAAGAGGATGGTTCAATTTGATAAAATAATTAGCCAATCCTCCCTTCCACTTGCCTGCAAAATTCACTTGATAGACAATGTTTACATTCACCTTCTATCGAGCAAGAACAAAGGGAAAGAATGGAAGGCCACTGCTTCTCACAAAAGCTGGAGAGAGATTGTAAGTAATTGTTTTATTAAACCCTGTTATGTGAATGCATTAAGGAGCAACCTGGTGGATTTACAGTCCCAGAAGCTCCTTGGGAATGACATAACATCCCTATAGAAGTATGTAGATGGAGAGAAAATTTCCACGAGATTTCTAATGCTACTCTCATTTCCCCAACACCAGCATCCTAACTTTACAGCTAGGTTGAGCGAAGCCCAGGATGTTCTAAAAATCTTTGCTTATTTGGGAGGAGGTAAATATGGAAAAGGCAGAGGGTCTCTGGATCCTCATTTGTTCCCAGAGCTCATTGGACAGAGGCCACCTTTGAAGTTTATCTGACAGGGCAGAGATGACTACTTGGGCCTAATGAGTGCAAACCTATTTGCTGTTGCAGACTGAATTATATGTCCCAACAAGGTTTTGTTGAAGTCTAGACTCTCAATACTTAATAATGTGACCTTATATGGAAATGGGGTCATTGCAGATATAACTAGCTTAGATGAGGTTATACTGGAGTAGGGCAGGCCTTTAACCTAATGTGACAGATGTAAGAAGACAGGTATATAAATAGACACATGGGGGAATATCATGTGATAGCAGAGGCAGAGATTGGAGTGATGGAGTTGCAAGCTATAAAGCACCAGAGATTGCTAGAAGACCACCAAAAGCTAGGGAGAAACAGGAATGATTCCTCTATAGGTTTTAGAGGGAGCAGAGAGCCCTGACATACATTATTTCAGACTTGTAGCTTTCAGAATGATAAGACAATAAATTTCAGTTGTTTTAAACCACCCAGTTGATGACACTTTGCTATGGCAGCTCTAGGATACTAATACATTTGCATAAAGCTATCCTAGACTGTTCCATTGATACCTGTGACACAGTCTTCCAGCTTCATGGTCCACACTATCCACCTGCCTCCTCCTCTTCACCACACCTTAACCTTTGGGCTCTGTAGGGCTTCTAGTACCTTAATTTCCCACATGCTTTCCCACTTCCATGAATGTTTCCCTGCTGGCACAGCCAGGACCAGAACCCAGGAGTCAGAACCCACTCCAAGACTACTCATCATTCAAATTCAGCTCAAGTGAAAACTCCCCCACAAAGCCTGGGTGAGTGAGAATGAGAGAATAGCTGTCTCTTTCAAGGCAATTTGTTTGTACTGGCACTCTGCTTTGCCATTTAGCTAGCTGACTATATGTCTAGTTCTCTCCATAAATCTGGTTTCTCTCCATAACTCCTTAAAACTAAAAACAGCTGTGTTCATTTTGTATCTCTGAGAGGCTTGCTTCTCAAAGTATGGTCCCGAGACCAGGAGCATAAGGTCACAGACCATCAGTGCTCACCCAGAGCTTCTGAATGAGAATCTGTGCTAGACCAAGTTCCTGTGAGATGTATATGTGCTGAAAACTTGAGAAGCACCCCTAGAGGACCTTGCAATATAGCTACTATTAATGGAATGCATGCTTCCCATCTGCTACTTTGCTGAGTGTTTTTACTTACATTATTCCAAATTAGTTATCACAGCAATTCTGTTAACAATCCTGAGAGTTTGATATTATTTTTCCTCAATATACAGAAGAGAACCTTGGAAAGAAGATAGATTGGAGGCTTTGGGGAGTGCTCCCACATCTACTTCCACTTGAACACAACTCCCTAGTCAAAGGGTGGGAAGCACCATGGACCATGCAGGAGCAGTGTCCACCCTGGGTAACACGACCAGCTGTAACTGCCAGGTTAGGTGCGCCCCTTACTTTACAGGCAGAATGGGCTGCATAATTTGCTGGGCAAAGTGAAAAATAACAATATGGGAGTTCTTTGTTCAAAAAGCAGGAAAAAGTTTTTTTCCCTCTTCCTTTATCTCCTTCCAGTCTCATATCTCCTATGGCATTTTTACTTGCTATTTAATATCCTCCCTCAGTCATGGGAATACTCACTGGCCCTCACAGGTGTGGGGGTCGGGGTGCAGGGGTGGGGAGCAGCAGCCCAACAACTTTGCTGAAGTGCCCCTTCCCACTAACTGCTGGACCAGTAGCAATGCACTATGCCATCGTAGGGAAGTCAAGTTAGGGATCTTCCCTTCCCACATCCCCTCACCCCCACCGCTGACTAATGATGGGTGGGTGACTCCCAAAAGTATTGTATCCTTGCCTGAGTATGCCAGGTACCTAAACTGGGAGCTTCAGATGGACAGCAGCCACTTTTCTTAGGCCCAGACTATTCTGTGCCAATAGGGGTACCCTAGTTCTTGTCCTTTAGGGATAGTTGGCTTCCAAAATCCAAGTGAGTTTAAACCTTTACTTAATTCTTCTGTAATTACTTAAAGCCATTTGCTGATATATTCTCTTTTGAATTATCTTTTATATTCTTCCTGTCTATCAAAGCATCAACATCTATGGATTGAAATTACAATCCAGTTGGAATTTGCATTTCTCTTGACTGTCACATTCTAGGATCATTTAGCTTCTGTGGTATGGGGCACAAAGAAGTCACAGATTCTCTGTAAATTTCATTTAGCTTAACAAACATTTTAGTATAGACAGCCCTCCCTATACCTGGTTTCCACATTTGCAGATTCAACCAACTACAGATGGTTGAATGGAAAATATTCAGAAAAAAATGAAAAACTTAAAAATAACAATACAACAATAAAAATAACACAAATAAAAAACCAGTATATTTTAACAGTATTTACATAGCATTTACAGTGTATTCAGTATTATAAGTAATCTAGAGATGTTTTAAAGGCTATGGGAGGATATGTGCAGGCTATAAGCAAATACTACTCCATTTTATGTGCAGGCTACATGCAAAGACTACTCCATTTTATGCTAGGGTCTTGAGCATTCGAGGATTTTGGTTTTCCCAGGGGTCCTTCATGGATACTGAAGAGTGACTGTATTCATTCTATGTGTGTGTGTGTGTGTGTATGTATGCAAGAAGAAAATAACATATAGACCCTAGAGTCAGGCAAGCCAGTGGTCAAACTTCATCTCACCGACTGTGGACAGGCAAGAGTTTGACTGAGGATAGCTGTAAACAGGAGGTCCATGTGTTCTTCAATCCAGCTTTACCCTCAACAACACTGATATTTTGGTTTCTTTTTGGGTGTCAATTCTATGGATCAGTTATTGCTCAAATTATCGGAGGGAGTAATGATTGATATCTCCAGTTACTCAAAGTGCAAATGAGGACATCATATATTTCAGCTCTAGAGGAAAGGAGTTGCACCCAACCGTGAGCAGCCCTCTCCCTGTGGGTGTCACTGGTCAAAATGGGATGAGAAAGACTGCATAGTACTCCATCAGTGCTGAGTGGTGCTTACATGTTAGTAGGCAAAGGTGATCTCTTGTTGTGAGAATTAAGTAAAGATAAAACCCTGGCCTTAACTTTCCTATACGTACAAGTAAAAAAAAAAAATGCTGCTTCTTACATACAAACTGGAAGAATAGTAAGTGTGAATAAATCCTGACTCACACAATAAGTTATGTTAGAAACCTAGTGGATTTTTTAGGCAACAATGGTAACTGCCCTCTGAGTTGCAGTTTCAGGGCAACATTAACATTTGAGTGTCTGTTGCAGATAGAGATGGGCGACTTTTTGTTTAACTCTAGTTGGTGGACTTACATCTCTTAAGACGCTGCATCAAAAAAGGGTTTCATGGAAAAACAGTAAATCTGGAAGTGTTCTGGCCCTCTTGAATATTAATAGTGCAGAGTCCCTTATTAAAAGCCTGGACATGACCTCAGTAAAGATACCTGCTTAACTTTGCTTAACTCGGTATTCCCCAAAGTTTATTTGACCCCAAATTGAGGTTGCATAATAGTCATCAACATTCTGTGAAACACATTTTGATTTAAAATGAGATTTTTAATCATGAGGGATGATCAAGAGGGAGACAAACTTCACAGATTGCTTTTTGATTCAGAGAAAGAAAGAAAAGAGAGAGGTCATTTATCTCCTGTAGTTATCTTTCAAGTGGGATTTTTCTCAAAATCAGATATCAACATGTGGGAAGGAAGTGAGAGACCAGCAGGAGCTTTGGAACCACCAGGAAGAGAGGTTCATTTCTCTATGCATTATTTAATATAATCAAGACCTCCCTAGAAAAATTCTATTCCATGCTGTAACTCAAGACAAAGATCTTTGATAAAATTAGGTAGAATGTTAACTCTGAGGTATATTGGGAAGATAAAGTGCTACACTAAATCACACCAACATTAAAAAAATGAACACTGAAGTTATGAGCTTGACACATGGGGACACAGTATTGAAAAATGCAGGATAAAGCCATACAAAGGACATTCATTACCCATCATCAGAGGGTTGCTGGGTTCAAACAGCAGGGGAAGTGGAAATGGGGAGGCTTATGCATTTGTCTACCAGGGGGAATCTTTTCAAGGATAGTTTTCCCTCTTGAGATAGATGAAGGGGGAAAGAGACTTTTTGCTTGGGCTGGACTCTTGATAGTTCCAAGGGTAGGTCTATTTGGATTTCTGGTGCTGATGGAAAGCAGCCCTCTCTCTGCAGAGCTGCTCAGGGTTCTGGCAAAGTAATGTCACCATTCTTCAGGGGTTTTCTCAAGGACAGGCATCCCATTAATGCAAATTAGGGCAGCTACTGATTGCTGCTTGCATGTTTATAACAGGAATGACGGGACAGGATTTTCTGGATTTTTTTTTCTTTCTAGGGAAAGAAAAGGGAAGACTGTGGTTGGTAATTTGGAAGCAGAGATGTCACCCAGGAGCTCCTCTCCATGAGGGCATAGACACTATCATCAGAAATGCCTTTGGGATGATACCTTGAGAATAAGCAGGCAAAGAGAAAGTGTTACGTAAATTTTCCACCGAAGCCTATATATTTCTTTCAGAATGCCCTGTGATCATTTCCCTACATCAGTTGCTGCTCCTATTCCACCTAGGTCTGTTTCAGCTGTTCCTCAGTCTAGATTGCCTTGCCCTCCATTTCTGCCTATTTAAGTTGTCCCTGTTCTTTAGAACTCTACTCAAAATTCTCTTCTGAGAAGACTTTCCTGATTTCCTGGATGAACAAACACTCCTCTTCTCTGGCCTATTTGGAGATTTGTATATTTTGATTTCTACTATCATGGTGCCCATGGCTATCTCACTATGAACACATTGAAGATGGGATTAGATTCTAAATCCCACTTACCGTCATTGAGCTCTGATCACTTAGCTAATGCTCAGTTAGTGCTAGTTGAATCATACCTCAACCAGCATCCTGATTTGGACTATGTAGTATTCCTCTTATTTCCAAGCTTGTTCTTTGGTCTTTGTTTCCAGACGGCTTCCTAGACTAGTGTTTCCCAAATGCCAGTCATTCACTCATCATTCCCATGAGTGGTGTCACATCTGTGCACCACTTATGCTTCTATTTACATAATATTTTTCTTTAAATGAATTTCCCTTTTTCCTTACACTAACTCATTTAAAAAGCAGACTATCTCTACTGTAAACAGAAATCTAGTGTCACTTGCCCTTAATAGATGATAAATATACACCTTAATACAATGAGAATAAAACATTATTAAATTCATTCATTGAACAAGTATTTATTTGCACATCTAGTACAAACAAGACACTGGGCTAAATACTGAGGATATAAGCAGTGAATAAGACAGACATAACCCCAGGTGTCTTTGAGCTTATGCTGTTAGAGGAAAACAGAAAGTGAACAGCTAAACATAAATGTAAATGCTATAATACACAGTGGTACAGAGCATGGGGATGGAGAACACTTAGGCAACTCCAGCAAGCTGCTATTGCTCTCTAGAAAATAATGCCATTAGCTAGTGAAGACTCAAGGAAAGTCTCCTTTGGCCTTTGTCATGGTTTGGATATGGTTTGACCCCAAGTCTCATGTTGAAATTTGATCCCCGGTGTTGGAGGTGGAGCATTGTGGGAGCTGATCCCTCATGAATGGCTGATGTCATTCTCACTCTTGGATCCCAAGAGAACTGGTTGTTGAAAATAGCCTGGCCCCTCCCCTCTCTCTTTCCTGCTTTTTCTCTCACCATGTGCTCTCTGTACACACTGGCTCTCCTTTGCTTTCGATCATGAGTAGAAGGAGCCTAAGACTCTCACCAGAATCACCCAGTATCAGGTATTATTTTATAGGAACACAAGTGGACTAAGAGAGCCTTTTCATCAGAAATTCCTCCCTGGTTCATGGCCAAACCCTTCCATCAGGCAGGCTTGTCTTCAAGAGACGATAGAATTTCCAGAGACCTGGAGGATTCAACCAGCTTTGCAAAAATACTAAAATGCCTGGGGCTCACCTGCAGAGATTTGGGGCTTAATTCACCCAGGGAAGGCCTGGGTATCTGTGTGCTGAAAGTTCCACAGCTGATTCTAATGTGAACCAGGTGCCAGAACACCGTTTGAAGGGAAGCCGTAAAGGAAGTAAGCAGTTTTACAGAAGAAAAAATCAGGGGTTTCAATTTCTTAGGATCACATGAAAACTAGTATTTTGATATAATATACATACATGGTGGGCATAGAATAGAAACATTTTGGAGGTGGGGTAGTCAATCCTTACACTGAGAGGGCACTATTTTAGCCTTTTTTTTCTTTTTGTCTCTCTCCATCATGTATTCCCCGGGTACATTTAGTGGTGCTAGCTAAATCCAGCTATGATCACATAGACAAAGCTCTCAGGTTGGAATCTGGAAGAACTATTAGTTTCTAACTTCAAAGACTCCAAAGTTACCTGTCTCATTTTCTACATCAATGTCACATTCAATTAAAGATGAGCTGGCTTCTCTTTCTCTCTCTCTCTCGCTCTCTCTCTCTCGCTCTCTCTCTCTCACACACACACACACACACATTCTATTTTGATGCATTTTGGACCCCATATTTGGAATCTGCTGGTAGTAAAAAATAGAATAAATTGGATATTGATATTTAAAAGCAAATTTTCTTAAGGAGAAACTTCTTGGGCATTCAGAATGAATGTCTAAAAGCCTTGAATAGACTGCAAATTGAGGATGACACTCCTCAGTGTTTGAAGATGGCTTTCCCAGCCTGCTACTCAGAAGGTGGTCTAGCAAGGCATCCGGGTGAAAGGATGAGCCATTGCCCAGTCTATGCTCTGAAACATTGGGAGACCAAAATGGAACCCTGAATGCCATGCTACAAATGTGTGGCCAATTATTTAAAATATAGGATGATACTGTTTGTGTCACCCCCATCCCTGATCCTGCCAAGCTTTCTCCTTAGTAGCCATCCTGAAAGATGCTGAACCAGGGGGTATGGGTAGCACCTGCCCTAAAGACATTCTGTCTTCTTAATCTTGTTATTTATTTTTACAAATGTATAGATTGTTGAGCTAGAGATTGTAGAGATCATTGAGTACAGTATTTCTCAAAGTGTAGTATGTGAGTTGATTTTTCAGTGGTATTCTGCTACTTTTTTGTTTGGCTTTTGATTATTATTGTTATTTGGTTACCTTTTATTAATAGCAAGTAATACTTGCTTTCCACTTAGGACTGATAGGAAGCTTCCTTTAGCAATGAATGAAGTTAGAAAGTGAGTCGTTTTTTTTTTTTTTTTTTTACAGAAATGAGGTAAATATCAGGAAGGTGATTCATATGTGGATATGGTAAAATTTGGGATATGGTAGATGATGGATTAATGTGTGGGAAAAATGCCATCTACTAATCTTTCACTAGTCCACAGTAGAATGACATACCCTGGGTCTTTCCTCAGTTAGTGGAGGGCAGATTCCTGGTTCACAACTATTTACGTGGCTGATCACCCTAACTGTTGTCACTTCAAAAGGGAAATAAAGCACCTAATAGTACATTAGAGACTCTGATCTGAAATCACAGTGAGCAGGGCTGATGGATTTTTAAAAATTTTAAGACTCTTTATGACATGCAAAACAAAACCTTAGCAAAGAGTTCTGCTTTCTGCTTGACAGAGACACAGGTGAAATGGCCATTTCTGACACCCCCAAGAAGCATGAGTGGCCCCCATCATAGTGCTCCCTAGGAAGGCTCCCACCAAGTGTTGCAGAGATCTGCTCTACTGGGACTGTCAGCGTGCATCTGTCAGGGTTCTCGTGGTTACTACCTTTGGTGATTAGGGGCAAAGGGAGAGAACAATTCCTGGGGTGAGGTAGTGAGTGGCCAGGGTAAACAGAGAGAGAGCTCAAAGGGCTGTGGCCTCTTTTCCAAGGATGCAGCCAACTGGCAGTGACCCTGCCTGGAGGACCCAGGAATAATTCCTTAACTTGCTCTCCTCATCCCTCAACAACTGCCAATGCTGCCCATTAGCCAAAGACAACAGGAGCCAGACATAAACTCCTACCATGCCATAGTGCAAGATGGAAAAGATGGAGAGTATTTGGAAGGGCAAAGAGAAGGGATCCAGCACCCCTCTCCTTTTCTGTTCCAGTTACTCTGCCCCCAAGCCTCCAGCTCAGTGACATGGCATTTTCAGAGAGCAGCACCGCCCCACCGTCACTTATGCAGGGGCCTTAGGTTACTATGATTCCCCTAATTCCCACTGTCTTCCAGCCTCCAAAATATATGCTGAAGAGGTCCACTTCTATTTCTCTGTTACAACCTGACTCCAAACCAAAACTATTTCTTTCCAGACTCATGTCAGCCTCCTAATGCTCACCCATAATCCACTTTCCTCACTGCAGCTAGAATGATCTTTTAAAACACAAAACAGAATCTGTCACTCCCCTTCTAGAGCCCTCCAAGAGCATCCTGTGCTCTTAGGCTAAAATCCCAACTCCTTTGCATGGCCGGCAGGCCCCGCATGATCTTCCTCTACCTCTGCTCAGACTCCCCTGGACGCCTTGCCTTCCTCTCCATGTTTCATCTGCTGTGCTCCCTCTGCTGTTTTGTGCTGGGGAACGCTTGGTTGACTCGCAGGACTTTGTCACCTGTTGCCCTTGCCTCCCATTCCACACATCCTTGAGCTTATTTATCTTCTGTTAAGACAGTCCTCCTCCAGCAAGGCAGATTACAATCACCTGGGAAACTTAAATAAAAATAACCGAAGTCCATTGAAACTTCTGGGACAGGAGCATGGATTTGATCATAAAGCCAAGGTGCACGTTTGGTCGAGCACCACAATCTTGAAAGAAAGGTGATTAGTTTCATTGGCTTTGCTTTCAATAATCCCCTGAAGGAAGTTTGGTAAGATGCCCAAATATAAGAGGCCTAAAACTGTCCAACATCAGTTACATAATAATGCTGAATACGTAGTAGCAGTAATAGTGGTAGTAGTTATTGTTGTTGCTGTTCTCACAAACTAGGACACTGAGGGTCAATGAGAAAGGAATTCCTTGGATAGAGCGAGACATAGGAAGCAATAAAACTGGAACAATAGAGTTCGGTCCTACATTTTCACCTAAGCCCTTTTTTTGAGAGCAGTTGATAACAATCGCAGCAAACATTTCTACTGTGCTCATCGCGCATCCTGTTCTGTGCTCAGCACTTCACAAGCATTATGTCATTCATTTAACTCAGTAAGTCCATGAGTGTAGGTATAATTGTTATTCTTAAATTAAATTTGACCATGTTGAAACTCAGAGGTTAAGAAACATGTCCTTTGTGCCTCCAGATCTACTTGCCCACTTTTCTGTGCTGTGCCTGGGGAGGCAGCTGGCTTGGGGCTGCCTCAATCTGTTCTTTTGTCCTCTGGTTTCTGGTTGCCTATGGCCAGTCAGAAGCACTGATAGGAGGCCTTGTGGCAGTCAAGGAGCTGTAGCCAACACCAGCCCTCAGGCACGCCTCTTGAGGTTTCCCTGCACCCTGCCCACACATTTGCAGAGATTCTCTTTATTAATTATCCTCAAATTGCCCAATTGAATGTGCCAAGTGTTTCCTGCAAGGGCTCTGACTAATACCACTATGAATTAGGAACTTATATCCAGATTTGCCTGATCCAAAGTGGGTTTCCTGAACCACTTTGTATATTGCCTCCAGCATATTGGCTGCGGGAATACAGCGTGAGGGATCCAAGAAAATATTCCAACATAGTGACTAGGAGCCAGGCCTTGTGGATATCCCCTTCACTACTAGTGTAACATGTGCTTCCTTTTCCTTATCCATAAAATGGAGATAATATTAGCACAATGTCACTGGGTTGCCAAGTACACTCCTTGACTTACTATTTGTAAAAGTGTTTAGAACAGTGCCTGGTACTCAGCACACACTCAGTAAATGTTAACAAGCCCAATTTATTTAACAGCATAGAGTTGGATTTACAAAGATACTCAGGCAGTTTCTTAGAGATGAGATTTTAAACAGTGGTTCTCAAATGTTGTGATCACTTGCTGAGGTCACCTATTATATTTACTGAGAATCCATTCCAGATTCCAGTTTTACAGGTAAAAAGTGGTTCCAAGAATCTGTATTTTTAAAAACTGGGGACTTCCAAGTGATTCTGAGACACGTGGCACCTAAACCCACTGGAAGAAACATTGTCTTCAAGGAATCCAGTGCCCTGGAAAGCTGGGGTGTGGAGAGAGCAGACACAGCAGTAGCTGGTGAAGTTCTGCTGCAAATCACCCTCTTTTCAAGCAGAACACTACGTATCCCTTCCCTTCCAGCACTTCACTTGCTTGTTTCTTTTTCCTTTAGCTAACATTGTTTAGAGATTTCCACACAAGTGGACACAAATGTGCAAAGGTTTGGCCTTTACCAAAAACTGGGCCCCAAAGAGGCAGAATGGGCATCTCTAGGCAAGCTGTCACTCCCTACAGCCTGTGAATTTTGCATTCATCAGCAGTCATGGGTGGCCAGACACTGCAGGGTAGACAGGACCAAGTCATGGCTTTGCTGTCAGACATGACTTGGATTCAAATTCTGGCCTCACTAGTCTGGGCATGATGGCTCATGCCTGTAATCCCAACACTTTGGGAGGCTGAGGCAGGCGGATCATGAGGTCAGGAGATCAAGACCAGCCTGGATAACACAGTGAAACCCCATCTCTACCTAAAAAAAACAAAAATTAGCTGGGCATGGTGGCACGTGCCTGTAGTCCCAGCTATTTAGGAGGCTGAGGCAGGAGAATTGCTTGAACCCAGGAGGCGCAGGCTGTGGTGAGCCAAGACCGTGCCATTGCACTCCAGCCTGGGTGACAGAGACTCCGTCTCAAAAATAAATAAATAAAAATAAACACAAAAAATTTTGGCCTCACATCTCACTAGCTGGGTACTCCTTTCTTCCTGTTAAATTGATGGTGATGATAATCACCCAGATGATGATGTGTGGTGGTGGAGAAACAGGCTGCTGGGGTGTAAGTTAGATAATCTGGACTGAAGCCAACTGGAACCCAGAATTCCAATCTTATGACAGTGATTTAGCCTCCTTCCTGATGTATCATTGCAGCATTGTTTGTAATGCGAAAATACAAAAGCTACCTAATTGCTAAAGAGAGAAGAAAGGACTTAAAGCATTCATGACTTATGTGTGGGACATGCCG